TACGTTGATTTATTGACTTTCAAAGAGCTTAAGTAGCCAGTTTCACATTTTTCTGGCTGCAAACTTGTGGTTTTGATCTTTTTTGTGCCAAATTTTGTTTGTTTTTCATGGTACAATATTTGCAGGATACAGAAAAGTATGACCAATTGAGTAATTTTTTATCAATAAGAATATCAAGAACAGTTTGTGGAATGTTTAAACTGTTACCCAAAATGCATTTTGATTTTAATCAAGTATTATTTACCTTGTGTGAGTACAAAAAAACAATTATTAGAATACAATGTGTTAAATTTGCTTAGATAAGAGGTAGGGCTGCTCGATTATGGCGAAAATGATATTCACGATTATTTTCAATGAAATTGAGATCTTGATTATTTTACGCTATTTATTTAACAATAACAATGTATTGAATAATTGCTTTAAAGATTGTCAAAAAATTATATAAAATGGTGCGCAAATACTGATAACCGTGCAAATGTTTGCAATATAAAAAATAAATAAAAAATGTAAACATTAATGTTTAGTGAACTTCAAACTACTGCATAATATTTATGCATACAAATAACCAAACATCAAGGCAAGCTGTGTAGCCACACAATGCACAATTGCATCAAACTGACATTGAGGTATGTCAACTAAAGTTGCTGCCTGAACAAAAATAAAATTAAACACTGAAAGTAGTACCTTTTATAAGAAATAAATAAAAACTAGTACAATCTCAAAATGGCTCAACAAAACATGGTTCCTGCAACATTTCAAAGGTTTTTAGCCAAAAACACCAGCCTATTGACATGATCAGGCTTCAGGGATGCATGCAGGCAGTTGACAACATTTCCAGCAGTGCTGAAGACCCTTTCTGATGAGGCACTTGTGGCTGGGATGCAAAGACATTTCTTTGCCAGGATGGAGAGTCGTGGGAAGAGGTTCTGTGACAGCTTCCACCACCCCAGTGGGTCTTCCTCTGTGTCCAGGGTCCCTGCCTGGAGGTAGGCCTGAAGCTCAAAAGCTATGGCCTGGTCCAGTTGAAGAGCATGTTCTGCACCTGGAGCTGTGCTGTGAGGGGCCTTAAAGAAGATGCTTAGGCCCCTTTTCCTCTTTTTTTGGTTTGATGCACCATCAACAGCAACCTCCGTGTTACCAACGGGTGTCCCCATCACTGCAGCCTCCTTTAATGGGACAAACATAAAATGACAGCAACACAGAATGAGGAACCAGTTTTATCTGTCTCAGGTTTGGCATTCTAAAATACAATCCTTAAATAATTACTATAAATAATGATAGATAGATAGACAGACAGACAGACAGACAGATAGATGTTTAGTATCTTTATAAATACCATGATGGACTTCATTTCCATTGTCAGTCTGGCTTTTATTGTCTCTTGGCTGACCTCGCTTACATATCTCAGTTTGAACCCTGAGTCCAGGACAGTGGCCATGTCAAGCAACTCTTGTGTTGGTGAGTCACCATACTTTTCATTTAGGTACTCCAGTATTCTCCTCTTGATGCATTTTGAGAGGTCTGTGTCATCATCTTGCTCAGCCAAGATTGAGTTGTTAAATAGGTGGAGTGTTGGTTTTATAAAAGCCACACTCACATATTTCTCTCCAGAAAGTGCATCAGTGAATTCAACCAAAGGTCCCAGGGTCTTGTTGATGGCCTCAAGGACATCAATGTCCTGCCATGAGGGGATGAGGTGCCTGGTTCCTTTGTCTTGGGAGAGGACTTGGGCAATGGCCTTCTGCTGCTCAAGGACTCTGGAAACCATGGCCTGCCTAGATCCCCATCTGGTTGGACATTCAGTCTTTAAGGAGTGGTCTGGCAGTTTGAGGTCTATCTGTGCCTTTTTCAGCTCTCTTTTTTTTCCAACTGAATGAAAACTGACCATTTTTTTGCAGACCCCCACTGCACGCTCAATCCTGTGATCTTTCATGGCTCTTTCTATAAAAACATAAAAAATATAAACAAGCATTATCAGGATGATGATT